TATATTTGCGCTTCTCCCTGTTTCACCTACACACACGCACACACATAGAAGAAAAAAAAAACAGTACAAGCACGCGCAAGCTCCAAGCAGCACTCACTTAAGCGCTTTTGCTCTCTCTCTCTCTCTCCCTCTCTTGCTCTCTCCCACCCTCTTTCGTTAGCTCTCTTTGGTTGGCGCTGTTGGCAGTTTGTCAACGTTGGCGTTGCCGCCTGCCGTTTTCATTATACGTTGTTTAGCCGTGCCGTGCGCGTCGTCGTCGCAGTCGCAGCAAGCAGCAGACGACGTCAGTCCGTTGCGTCAGTAATAACAAATTACTATTTTTTTCCAATTCCTATTTGCCAACAAATGAGATAAAGAAGTAGGTGCAAAACATACAAAATACAACATCTTTTTTGAAACAAACAAAAAAAAAAAAGAAAAACAAAAATGTGTATAAAAAAAAATTAAATAAAAAAAAAACCAAATAGATCAATTTTCGGATTCGTGGTTCAGCTTTTTTCGCTGTTCTCGCCCGTGTGTGTGTGTGTGTGCGTAAGCTTTTTTTTCTCGTGCTCATGCCACAAAGCGCGTGCCTTGGCTCATGCAGCTGTCGTCTTTGTCGTTGTGTGTGTGTTTATTGTTTTTAATAAATTGTATAAATACAAGCATGACAAAAACTCGAAGATGTATTTGTGTATGTTATGCATGCATGTACATGTATGTAGATGTGGTTAACTAACGGCAACAACATTAGCAAAGCAGCGCTGCCAACGTCGCCACAATTCTGACTTAGACTCTCTCATGCACTCTCCCGCTCTTTCTCTGGCAATGTCCTTTATGCTACACCTACACCCACACGCACACACACAGACACGCAATAAACACAAACATCGCTCTCGCGCTGCTTGCCCTGCTCTTTCGGCCGTCAGACAATCATTTTGCTATTTTTATATGCAGTAATAGTATTATTGCTCTCTTCTTGCACGCTGCAAACACTATTATTTTTTTTTGAAATTAGCGACAATAATAAAACGACGTCAAAACGAAATGCAAAGAAAGTGCGTGGCAATGTGTGTGTAGCCTCTCTTTGGCTGCCTGTTGTGTGTACGTGTGTGCGTGTGTACGTGTGTATTGGCTCCATCTCTGGCTCTCACGTTGAATTCGTGTCTCTCTGTGTGCGAAACTGAACCTGAAAGCATTTAGCAAGAAACCCTCGCATCACCAGAATTTTTTTATTTCTTTCTCTGTTTGCTTTCTTCATTTTGCTTTTTTTTATTTTTTTTTTTTGCTTTTATGCTTTAGCCGCTCTTTTGTTTTTATAAGCTCTTCAATCGCTGAATGCTGTTGTTTTGAAATTCACTTTCTTCATTCCCTTTTCAGCTGCTTTACTGCTTTTAACGTCAGTTTTCAATGTTTTTTTCTATACATACATACAAATACATATATGTAAAATGATAAAAACAAATGTGCGTAGAAAGTATCAATGCAAGCACATGCATATTGACGCATGTATATGCGTATGTGCATGTTTCTATTTATGTATGTACATACATATGTATGTGTGTACATACATGTTAAAGTTTACGAACGACTTTGAAAGCAAAGAGCGACAATAACTGGCGCTGTGGCTTGCATCTATGTACATATGTATGTATGTGTGTGTCACTAAGCACAGAATTACTTGCAAGCATGCAGCCGTTCATATACATACATATGTACATACTGCATACATACGTATGCATATATACATATTGCATCTGTTGCGATAACAAGCTTGAAACTAGAGATGGCCACGTGTCAGCACATAACGTGCACGTACGATCACGCACGACTGACAATAATATTGATATGGTAAAAACAAATTGAGATTGCTCGACTAGCATATACCCTACTGGCGCCAAACATGTAGCAAAATATAGAGACATAGAAGTATGAGTATGATTATTTGCCATTCTTTTTGAGTTTCGTGAAGTGTTGGAAAGTGAATAAAAATAGTTGTTTTGATCTGAAAGATCAGCGCATTCGTTCGCCTAAATTACTCATTTTTGAAAAAGGTTTAACTAACCATTTCAATTTCACACAGATGAAATTCAATTTTAGCATATTTATGTATGTATTTGATACAAGCGCTATGACTATACTCGCATTGTCTCACACATACATTACATACCTCTTTTAAGGGGTAGCTTTGAAGAGATGCATGTACATATATTGAACCTGTGCCTGTGTGATTTTCTTATCGAATTGTAAAACGGTACTTCCCCGCAAAATGAACATAAAGCTTTTGAAAGCTTCACGGGAAGACATAACTGTTTTTATTAGAACCTTATTAAACATAGATTTGCTTTGCTGCTTCTTGGATAAGTCGTCTGTCGATGATGAGACACATTTGCGCTCATTGAAACATGCACATATGTATGTCTACATATGTATGTGAATGTACATATGCACATAATTAGGGCACACTTACACAAGTGCAGTTTATTCTTTTTTTTTGTTTTGTTTTGTTTTTTGTTGCTTTATGTACTTAAGAATATTAAGTTTCAAGTGTGATATGTATCGAATGACAACATACAACGGCGATCTACAGCTTTGTTGATTAACGCACACATACTTAGCTTATACATACATACATATGCATGTATGCATGTATGTTTGCACATACACATATGTATGTATGTGTGTGCATTCAATATGGTTGGGCCTTTGGTTATCTGCTGAAGATTCGCGTTTTCTTCCTCCTTTGACTGTGGCTTAATCAACCGCAATGTTAAATAATTTGTGTGCTATTAGTTTTTCCATAAAGCCGAGGAGAGTTTTCTCTCTTTAGATTTCTGCCTTTTGACTTTTAGGTTCTCAGGCGCTGCCGGAACGGATCCGGTTTTAGGGATACTGAAGTGCTTTATAGGAATTTGAATTTGACTGCATTCAGAATGGCAACAACCCCGCTGCCCCCTTCTGCTTAGCTACGGGCTGTTCTCGAAAGGTTTCTTTCACGCGATGCTCTCACCCGAAAAGAAAGATGGAAAGAAAGCCCGACGACAACAATGGGCCGTAAAGTATTGGGAAATACGACGAGGTGCGACCCCGACCCTTGGCCCATGGGGTTGCTTGATATTGTATTGTTGTTTTGCCGATGTTGTAGTTCCTGCCAGGGTACAGGGTCGATTTCTGGTTAAGGTACGAAGAGAGCTGATAAGGCAGCCGTCGCGTCATCGCGTTGCGTTCAAATTTCCAAATGGGGAACGCTGTGGGCGGTTGGGTGAGGGCGGTTAATTGCCAGCTTTGGCTTATTCTTGTTAACTTGGTCAATTATTGCGAATTGTATTCCGTTTAAAGCAAATCGCATTTGAATATTTAATAGAATTTGGACACGCACAAGTTTGTCAACCTTTAACACGCACGCACGCACGCACGCACGCTCTCTTCCAACTTCTTGCTCTCTTTTCTCTTACTCTCTTTTCAATTTGCAATAAGAAATGTCAACGTCGCACCCTGTCACAAAATTACATATATGTGTATGTGCATATGTATTCGTGCGGCAAAGCTCTGCTCCTGGCAACCCTGGGGTTGCCTGAGGACCATCAAATTGCGTTTAATGTCAAGGCAAAGCACACGTACTACAGACCGATACAGTGAGAGAGAGAGAGAGAGAGAGAGAGGGACGACTGACAACAGCGCCCACGCTATATAATAAATAAAGCTCCTGCGCGCTAGAAAGCTTGCGCTCGCTGTAACAGCAGCATTTGCCCCTCGCTGCTTGTCCCCCTCTCAGTTGCGTTCTGTAGCGCTTTGTATGCGGCAGCCGGCTGCAATGTCCTTCTGTTGTCGCCAGGTGCCGACTGTCGAATGCCTCGACCCTTGACCTTTTTATGAATTATGAGCGGGGCTACTTATGACAAAAATACAATGCAGCATTAGTTGTCAATGGTCTGATACACAAACACACACACACACATGCATTTAATATGAGCAGCAGCTGACGTTGCCGACATTCAATTCGCGCACGCGTCAATGTAATTTTCATTGATAGGCGACCGCTGCGTCGGCATCGGCATCGGCGTCGGCGTCGCGGCTCTGCAACTTGTTGGGGCAGCCTCTCTTTGCTGTGTGTCTGTGCGTTTGTTGTGTGTGTTTGTGTTTTTGCCGCCACGCAGCTGTCTGTGCACAAGTACCATGAACACAACAGCTGCCCATGATCGCTGCGACGCCACTGCGCTGCTGCGACACTGCGCTACTGCGCTGCTGCGCATACAGGCGACAAATATTTTAGTTTCGCTATCCCCAAGTACCAATGAACAATGAACATCAAACTTGAATAAATTCAGTTCAGTATTTGAAGAGAACAGAGCAGAGAATTATTATAATACATATATTTGATTTAAATGCTTAAATGCAATAAAATACAAGCTAACGGTATAGCTGTTGTTGTAGCTACATTTATTACAGTTTAAGTACTGAAATCGATTTAGATAGATTTCGAATTTAAAATATAGTATTTACCAGCCAATAAATATAAATATATAAGCAATTATCTTTGTTTTTTTTTGAGAGTGAAAACAGCTACATATGTTTAATTTAAGCTTGATATACAAATATGCGAATCACTTTTAAATCGTATTAATTATTTTTGTTGGTTGTATTAGCTATTTGCTGATTAAATTTGTTCTTAGTCATATTGCATACTAATCGTAGCTTTAATTGCGATTTACTCTCATTTCAGCACACATATGTACATACATACATACATACAAACTTAAACAATATTAATCAAAAGTAACGGGGCCTATTGCTACTGCAATAACCACCAACAGCAAAAACAACAACAAGAACTAGAAGAAGAAGAAAACGAAGCCAAACAACAACAAAACCAACCGAATTTCAACTGTAAACGTGCCGACCCAAATTTGAGTGACTCCCTTTCTCTCTCTCTCTCCCTCTCTTCTACGTTCGTTCGCTCTCTTCGTTTGCGCTGTGTGTGTGTGTGTGTGTGTGTGTGTGTGTGTGGTGTGTGTGTGTGTTTGTGTGTGTAGGCGGCTGTGGGAGACGCGGCTATGTCACAGGACGGCATAACAGAGCTACTGCACGCTGCTCAATACATTGAGCAGCAGGAAAACCTCAAGCGATTACAGCTAACAGTGAACGGCGGGGACGACGTTGCCATCAGTCTTGGCGGGCATTTCATCAATGGCAATGGCTACAGCAGCAAAAGCACTGCTCACAACAACAACAACAGCGCAAGCCAACTCAACAGAAACAACACGCCAACAGCAGCAGCAGCAGCAATTACAACAACAACACCCGCCATCGTAAACAGCCATAATGGACTGACTAACGGCACCGCTGCAGCAGCAGCAACGGTAGAAGCAGCAGCAGTCGGTCTCAGCATTGGCCATAGCAGTCCACGCAGTCAATTAATTGTTACTCACGAATATGAGTACGCTGGCAGCGGCAGCGGCAACGCCGCCGTCGTCGTCACTGGCAGCAATGGGCAATTGGTGGCAGCGGCAGGGACAGCGGGGCGCAGCAGCGAAGGCCGCAGCATCGTTTCGGGTGAGTGTCGAACATTTAACACTAAGCTACAAGTTTCTAACGCAAGTATCATGCATCATCATGCAACATTCCAAAATCAAATTAGGTCCCAGTTTATGACTTCAATTCGCTCTCTTTCTCCCTCTGCTGTTGCATTTAAACTTGCTTTGACCTTGTTTGCGTCGTACAAGCAGTGCACTTTGCGTGGGCGCGCACTGTTCAGCCACACTGGCAGCCAAAATATTGAGCTGCCGGGCCGCGATATCTCTTCGCTCTCTCTCTCTATTTGTCTTGCCCATACGCCGCTCTCTTGCGGCCAGATTGCAAGTGCGGCGGCAGTAGCCGCAGCAGGTACTGTTATATTTTTAGCGATTTTGCTGCTTTCTGTTTGCTCAGCTCAAGCCAGCCAAATTTGCATGTGCTAAATTTGCTGCCTACTTTAGCTGCTGTTGTTATTGTTGCTCTCATTGCTCATTGCCTTGGCTAATGGTAGAAAAAGGGGGTGCGTGGTGGAAGTCACTTTTTAATGTATTTCTTACATACGTTTTATTCGTTTGCGTAGCTTTTGCTGTACTCATTTGGGTGCCACTTACAAAACAGCCTATACATATTTGTACATATGAACGTACATACATACGTATACGTACGTATACAAACACATGCACATGTACATACAAACATACATGTGTATGCTATTACCATTTTGTCTTTGGCTTTTTGCACGTACGCTCGTACTTGTTGCTGTTGTTGTTTGGGGTCACGTCATGTCGCCGCTCGCTCGCTTGTTTGTGCGCTCTCTTTTTCTCTTGCCCGTCGCCAGCCAAGCGCAACCGTGAAAAACAACCAGACAAATTAGTCATAGACCTACATGGCAGCATTCATACACAACACACATATACATACATACATATGTACATACATATAGAAAGAGGCGCGCGAACGCACGCACATAAGCAGCCCCCGTTGTTGTTTATGCGAGCGCTGCCAGCAGCCCCACGTGAGCGGCGCTCCACAGAGCGTGTGAGAGAGTGAGAGAGAGAGAGAGCAGCGGAGCGCGTAGCTCTCACTTTGCTTTGCTGCTTTTGTGTGTTTGTTTTTGTCATTGAAAACACAATGTTCAAACTGCGAGAGGCGCTCTCAACGCTCTTTTTCCCTCTCTCTCTCTCTCACTTTATGTCTTTTGCACGCCGCGGCAGTGTAAAGCAAAGTCAATGAACTTTGTACGCATTTTTATTTATTTTTTTTTTTTTTTGGTTTGTTGTCTTTTTTGGACAGAGCTCGTTCATATTTTTATTAGCGTCTGCCTTTCTTTTTATGTTATTTTTTTGTTTTATGTTTATTTTCTTAACACTTACAGTTTGTGTTGCTGTTGTTGCATGCCCGTTATTTGGCGCTTGTAATATTTGGACAGCTGTCTTAAGCTGCCGCTGCTGCTGGTGCTGCCCCTGTTGTTTTTGTGCTTCGGTACATGTGCATGTGTGTTTGTGTTAGTTTTTAGCCAGCCTGCGCTCAGCTGAGCTCGGCAGAAACAACAACAAACAACAAACTGACGGCAAGCAACTGCAAATGTTATGCAACTCAGAGCAGCTTTTGGCTGCATACATGCACACGTTAGCATGTGTATGTGTGTTTAAGAATAAATAGAAGAGAGTATGGGTTGAGTGCACGAGTGGGTGGCTCTCGAATCAGCCATTACTCTAGCCTGACTTTAGTTTCTATGGAACCATATCATAAATATAATGCATAGCATAAATAATGTCCTCTTGTTAATGCAATTGCATTTGGTTTGTTTCTATATCAATATTCAAATATCGATAGCAATAAATCGAAATGATAGCGATATTTTAAAGGAAATTAGTAAGAATCTACACATTTACTTCTATATGTATCTATGTACATACATGCATACATACATACATACATATGTATATAGCATACGCGAGAATGTGTAATCAACGGTAGTCGAGTCGTCACTTTTCACTCAGCCTCTTTTGTACTCAATGCAATTGCACTTCTGCTCTCTCACGTAATCATGACTTTGTGTGCGAAGAGAGTGTGAATGTTGCGAGCGCTCTTCCACCCCTCCCCCTTTTTTCATGTGTCGCCTAAAAGCACGCAATAGAAATTGACAGCTCTTTACTGTTGATCGATGACAGATGCAATTGTTGTTGTTGTAACTGTAATATGCTAACGTATGCGTATGTTGTTTTTGTTTGTTTTTATTTTCAATTTGCATTATTATGCATTTCGTTGTCAGCTTTGTTAGCGCGCGCAGTTAGAAACACATTTGCCGTTTAGTCGCGCGCTAGGGCTGCCGGCCATTGGGCTCTACCTCTCGCAATTGTTACATTTCGTTCGGTACATGAAAACAGTAATATGTCGCAACAACAGAAACAACAACAATTTGACATTGATTATCTGTCAGCTCAGCGCCAGCTGCTCGCTGAGTTGCTGAGCCGTCTCAGCGCACTTCAAGCTTTGCTGTTAGCGCAACAGTCGCAGTTGCAGTGGCCGTCAACGTCAACGTCAACGTCAGCGTCAGCGTTGGCTGCGGCGCCGCCCAAAAAGAAATGGATTTATCGTCATTATCGTCTTGGTATGTGTATAATGTGTACACACGCGTGCGCGCACGAGTGTGTGAGCGCATGTGTGTGGGGGACCACGTGATGAAAGCGCACGTGGCGATCGAATGCGCCGCAGCAGAGAGAGAGAGAGAGTGAGAGAGGGAGAGTCAGTGAGAGTGAGAGAACATGTGTTAGTGTGCGTGCCAAAAATGTGCAGCTTTAAAAGTTGTTTCTGCATGTGTTTGCTTTTGTTTTTTTTGTTTCCTTTTATATTTATCTTCTTCTTTTTTTGAAAAGGGAGTGCAAAATGTTGCTTGTAGGGAGGGGGACCTGTTCTGCTAACAGCTTGATTTACATCTATGTATGTACATATGTATGCATGTAACTGCACTGTACATCAATGTTACATTCTGTCAGGGATGCTTATGATTGTGGCTTAACTCTATTCTTTTCGGAGAGGAGAAACATCTGTTATTTAACATTAAATTTAATATCTTTTACGATTTTCAATGTTATTAACAGTTTGTGTATTTGATATGATACGAAAATTAGAAAAGTGTCTTATGTCTCGTTTTGATTTTGCCTGCACAAAACTAGATTTTCGTATTAACTTCTGTTAATATTGTTTGCAATCTTGAATGCTTCAAATCATCATGAATGAATCAAATTGCTTTCTCTTATTTTATCTCAGATAAATAACATATTAAAAGGGAACTATAGAACTACATATTATACTAATTTGGACTGTATAACCTATTGATATTATTAGGGTTTATCTAAGGGCAAAATGTTTCAATTCTCTGACCTAGTTTCAAGTCTTATTGCTTGCAACCTGTTCACCTGTTCACCTGTTCAAGTTGTACTGTTGATTGCGAGTTGCTGCTGTTTGTTAATAAACTATATGACAATCTATGTTTGTGTCAAGTCTGATCCAAGGCCCAGGTCTTAAAATCGATATTTATCCAAATTAAGGCAATGGGAAAAGATATCGAAATAATGATAAGCATATCTCTTTCAAACTTCAAGTCTCTAGCATTTGTAGTATCCGAGTTGGATATGAACGGGTTTGGGTTGTAAAAATAAATGCTTTGTATGAAAATTAAATAAGCACGTGAACAGCATGAAATATTGATTGACAATTTGTCGTTGGCTGTGGGAAAATATTTGATTGTTTGAAAAATAATTAGTTTGCAACATTTACATTAAATGTACATACATATGTGTGCAGTTAAACATACACATATAAACATATATATGTATGGACATATATATATGCATAGCACATAGCTAATTTGTTGATTTTGGAGCAAGATTAATCTGATTCATCGCTTGATTCATTTGTATTCACACTTAAAATTAGCATTCCTTGATTATATTATTCATTTTAACATAATTATATATTTTCAAATTCATTATAAGTTATTTATTTGCTTGTTGTTGTTGTTCTTGCTTATTATTTAACAACTTTATTTGTATTTTTGCATTGTTTTCATATGCTCATAATATACCCTGTACTCAGTTGAAAAGGTTTTGAGAGCGGGCTTATTGTTTGTTTTTCTTTCAATACCTATAATATCGATAAATATCTATTTGGAAACTACGTTTTTATGGTTTAACTCATACAGTATAACAGATCGAGACACTAGCTCGAATAGTATAACTGATCGAGACACTAGCTCGAATAGTATAACAGATCGAGACACTAGCTCGAATAGTATAACAGATCGAGACACAAGCTCGAATAGTATAAGAGATCGAGACACTAGCTTGAATAGTATAACAGATCGAGACACTAGCTCGAATAGTATAACAGATCGAGACACTAGCTTGAATAGTATAACAGATCGAGACACTAGCTCGAATAGTATAACTGATCGAGACACAAACTCGAATAGTATAAGAGATCGAGACACTTGCTTAATAGTATAACAGATCGAGACACTAGCTCGAATAGTATAACAGATCGAGACACTAGCTTGAATAGTATAACAGATCGAGACACTAGCTCGAATAGTATAACAGATCGAGACACAAACTCGAATAGTATAAGAGATCGAGACACTAGCTTGAATAGTATAACAGATCGAGACACTAGCTCGAATAGTATAAGAGATCGAGACACTAGCTTGAATAGTATAACAGATCGAGACACTAGCTCGAATAGTATAACTGATCGAGACACAAACTCGAATAGTATAAGAGATCGAGACACTTGCTTAATAGTATAACAGATCGAGACACTAGCTCGAATAGTATAACAGATCGAGACACTAGCTTGAATAGTATAACAGATCGAGACACTAGCTCGAATAGTATAACAGATCGAGACACAATCTCGAATACTATAACAGACACTAGGTCGAATAGCATAACAGATCGAGACACAATCTCGAATAGTATAACAGACACTAGGTCGAATAGTATAACAGATCGAGACACTAGCTCGAATAGTATAAGAGATCGAGACACTAGCTCGAATAGTATAACAGATCGAGACACTAGCTCGAATAGTATAACAGATCGAGACACTAGCTTGAATAGTATAACAGATCGAGACACTAGCTAATAAAGTTAACACAGACTAGGAGCATTTTAACTTTTTGGATACCTCCAAAATTGAACGAAGAAAGAAGAATATTAGATCCTTGTGCCTTGGTTTGAGTGCCAACAAGTTATACAAATATATGACTATAAACCTCGAATAGTTTGTGGAACGCTTTGCCCCTAAAATGGGAGCTACGGGAAGATGAAGCTGGGCATCTTCTAGTTTGGTTGCGTTTGCATTTAAGTTTAGTTAAACAGCTGGTTACCTTTTGTTTAAGTTATTTCTTTGCACTAAAACATTTAATTTATCCGTCTATAAACAAACACACACACCCACACACACAGAATATATCATAATATCAGATTTGTTGACCTTGAATTTCTTTTAGAGTTTTTTTAAAATAATTTTACTTTGCTTTTATTTTATATTTCTTCGCTGGCCTATTGGTATATTTCTTATATTTATTTATTTTGTGTTTTTCTTTCTTTTTATTGTTTTTTAGAGGATGAAAATTCCTCCACAAACTTCAACTCCAAATCCAACTCCTACCCCCAACCACAACCACAACAACAACAACAACAAGTAGCGACAGGCAGAGCAACAACAATAACAACAGCTGCAAATGCAACAAGTGCAACAAAATTAACTGGCGCTGGCCGCTTCGATGGCTCCACCTTTGTGCTGTTGGCGTCGAGCACGTCGCCGTTGCAGGTTCAGGTGCCGGTCACGGGCACGGGCACGGGCACGGTCACGGCTACGGCGACGACCGCGCCCCAGCTGAAGCACAAGCTGCCAGCCGGCGTTGCCAGCGCTGCCTCCGAGTTACCGTGCAAGTATTTCGTGTTGGCGGACGCCAAAGGCGCCTGCCCAACCTCGCAAGGGTCAGTAGCCGGATCCGCAGCCACAGTTGGAGCTGGCATCTCAGCGGCCACAACGAGCGCCAATAAAATCTCTGGCGATAGCGCATTGGCCCCCTTCCAGGCGCAGTCACGCCAAATGCCCAAATCGCAATTAACGCTTACCCCGCCCCCGGTGGCCACTCGGCGTGTGTTTGAGCCGCATGCCAGAATCCGCTCGCATTCAATGTCCTCCCATAAATTTTCAGCGCAATCCCATGGCGCACTCATCGGCTCCGAGGATGCGCACATGAGCTACGGTGGCGCTGGACGAGCCGTAAACGCCACAGCCGTCACCTCGTATCGACAGATTCTCAATGCCCAGCAGCAGCAGCATCACCATCATCAGCAGCATCAGGCATCGGGCGTATCCGTCTCGAGCTCGGCGCCAGTGACGGGATCTCAGCTGACCGGCCACGGCGGTCGCAGGCGTACCATCAGCTCTAATAGCAATGGGTAAGTGAATCCAGCCCAACTAAATTATAAATTATCTAGCATCTGCACATCCTGCGACCCACAGACTATCCGATATGCCCACAGTACTCATAGGGCCCATAGCATTTATAGATACCTATTCGTAATATTGTATGTACCCATACGTACTCAATAAATACTCAGTTTCAGCCATAATCAATCAATATCTTAAATAACTTCAGTGTCTAATTGAAATACAACTGTGTCTTTATCGTTTAGTCGATACCTACGATATGACCATCAGTATATTTATATTCACAATTATCGGTACTTTGAGTATGTCTGTCAATATCGTCGAACTTTTAACAGGACTTTATCCATACATAGTATTCCGTATTCTTATTATTATTCAATTTAAAAACGTATAAGTCCACACTAGGACTATCGATACATTTATAGTTACGATACGTCTATCGATATAATGACGCTCACGTAACGTCTATCGATATAATGACGCTCACGTAACGTCTATCGAAATATTGATACCCACAGTACGTCTATCGATATGTTAATACCCACGCTACTTCTATCGATATATTAAAACCCACTATACGTCTATCGATATGTTAATGTCCACGATTCGTCTATCGATATCGTTTAACTACATCCTTTGCATGTGAATTATTTTATTTTCATTTTATACAATTTGTTCCACACACTGTATTTCGTATTCTTATAAAAATCGAAATAAAAAACTTATATATCGACGTCATGACTATCGATACATTGCACGTTCGATACTTCTATCGATGTTTTGATACCCACGATTCGTCTATCGATGTCGTTTAACTACATCCTTTCCATGCAAATTATTTGATTCTCATTTTACAGATCTTTTTCCGTATTCTTATAATAATCCAATTAACAACTCATACATATATCCAAAATATGTCTATCGATATATTGATGCTCACAATACGTCTTATCGGTTTCGTTCCAAAAAAAAAACCCGTTAAGAACTTCTACGCATGATAACAGGGATAATCGGCAGATATCGATAGTCTTGTTGGCATTTTGTGTAGGGTCATTCAACCTGAACTCGAAGTCTTGAAATGGTTTCTTTGTTTTATTTAGGGCTGGCACGCGCGAGGTGCACAACAAGCTGGAGAAGAATCGGCGGGCCCACCTCAAGGGCTGTTACGAGGTGCTCAAGAACGAGCTGCCGCTCAAGGAGGAGGATCGCAAAAAGACATCCAATTTGATAATACTCGACAAGGCGCACAAATATGTCTTGGTATGTACATATAGCCGTCTCTACCTCGCTCTCTCTTTCTCCCATCCATTGTATCTGGCTCTGTCTGACATGTGTGGTCTCTTGTTATAGCAACTGTCAAAATACGAACGGGATCAGGAGGTAGAGATGGAGCACTTGGCCAAACAAAAGTTTGAGCTGCAGAAACGCCTCAACAGCCTGAAACGCCCCACGGATCAGAGCATTCCACTCAGCGACAAAGGTAATGTGGAACCTCCAAATACAAGGCGGTTGACTGGTAGAGCGATGGGGGGAGGTGTGGGAGGTGTGAGAGTGTGCACAGCCGGCTACTTGGGCAACCATGAAAACGAATGCAACCAAAAACACTTGAGACTTGCGGCAATTTGTCGACATTTGCATTTGCGCTCTCAGCGCAAACAACAAAAAGTAGCTCAAGTTTTGCATATCATTTGAAACCGAACACACGCCAGCCCCTGCCAAACCCCAAACCCCCAAACCCCCGTCACGACCTTCAGCTTATGCAATAGAAATATTTCGATTCGCATCGCATCGAATCAAATCGAATCGGATCGGATCGAATCGGATCGCATTGATCTTCAGTTGCATTTGCCTCGAATATCTATTCCAGAATTGCCTAAATACATTTAACTAAAGCTCTCTCTCTCTCTCGCTTGCTTCCATTTCAGATGTCAATGAAGCCGTTTGCCTGGCAACCACATCGTCGTCATCATCATCAGCGTCGTTGTCGTCGTTATCTCCATCATCAGTAGCCGGAGCAGCCCCACCCATTCTGTTTGATGGCACCACCGCGCCCGTCTGTGCCGTTGTTGTAAGTTGCATTGAATGATATTGATGCAAAGTCTAGAACAGTTCATTAAAGTTCATGTTTGCAAAAACGAGAAGCCTGTTCACATCAAGCTTATCAAGTTGAACCAGTTGTGAATGAATCCTTAACTAGTTTGCAGCTCTTTCGACGACTCTCTACATATTTCAGTTGTTCCAATATGTAGCTCACTTCAGTTCAGCTCATTTTCTGCAGGAGTTGTGTTTGTTTTGAGTTCTAAGATTTTCTTTAACTTCTTCGAGTGCCTTCAAGAACAATTTGGCAATGTTCTACTCAAAAATGTTAATTTCTTTATATTTTTTCATAATTGTGGGCCTAATAACTCAACCATCAGGAACTAGTTCACCAGCTTATTTAACCAGTCTTTGGCTAGGAGCAGAGCAAGGACATATGTGAATTTCCTGTGCAAATAGTTTTTTTTTAAATTAAGGTCTGATCCGAATGATTTGACAAAACAAAAACTAATTCTTGAAACTTGTGTATGAAATGTCCATGAAATAGTACCAAAATTATAATATATATATATATATATATAATAATATAAAAGAAAAGCTCTGGCTGTGCTTCTTCCCTGAGCGCCTCACTTTTTCAAATGCTTGCCTGATTTACTTAGTTGTTTATCGTCCGATGCTTATGAAGTTTAACAGTATAACAAACCCAAGTAAATAGCTCCAAAAAATAGACGTATTCGGCCAGAACGGGGCAATATTATAAGGGAGTAAAAGTACCAAGCAAACAGGATATCGATAACGTTCCGATCAATTGCATTCAAACGGGTCAAGTTAGCAATTGCTTGAGCCAAATTCGTGCTGCAAAATTGCAATTCAATTGTTCTTATGATTAACGAGCTCAACGATAGACAGACGGACGGACAGACATGTCTTAATCGACTCGAAAAGATGTCGCAAATGTTTGCTTTCAGTTCAACTATTTCCAAAAATCGGCCTGTCGATTTTCCATCTATCATATTATTATCTGAATGAACATTGAAAAGAGTTTAACATTAAAAAAATGTCATGCTGACCTCCGTCTCTTTCTCTCCCGCTCTCGCTCTCTCTCTCTCTCTCTCTTTCTCACGCTCTCTCACCATCTATGCAGTTGCAAACGGCTGTGGCAACAACGGCCATGTCACCTGTGATAAGCAAGAGCAACGCGAACAGCAGCAAACACAACAACAACAACAACAACAGCAACAGCAACAACAATGTTACCTCTGCCGCTGCAGTCAACTATGCACAGAATCCGAATCAGCATCAGAGCCCATTACTGAATCCCGATGCCGCTGCAGCTGCTGTTGCTATGAACCTGCTCAAGAACAGCAGCAGCAATAATAACAACAACAACAACAACAACAACCGCTCACCAACAATAGCATTGTCGACGTCGCTGCAGAGCAGCCCAGCGGGCAGTCCAAATGTGACTGGGGCAACGTTAACGACACGCGGCTCCCCAACGCCGTCAACGCCATCGCCCTCGCCGAGCTCCACGTCCAGCGGTGTCTCGTCGTCGGCCTCGTTCATTGGCTCCTCGTCGTCATCGTCGTCCTCATCCTCGTCGTCATCATCGTCCTCGTCCAGCTCATCATCATCGTCGACGGGGTCAACCTCCTCATCGGCCAGCTCCTCGCCGCCGATGATAACGCAGGCGCAGACGCAGGCGACGACGCATTTGCTAAGCGCCAAACGCCATGTCGGCGCTGGCGGTGCGCTCAATGGTGGCGCCACCATTGTGGCAACAACGCCCAACGCGGCCGCAGCAGCAAACGGTAAACAATACACATCATGAAAACCCCATATATATTTGAATATTATTGTATTTTCCGACAATTTGCAGGCCATTCCGCTGGCTTTCATCAGACGGACAAGGATCGCAATTACAACTTCTTGATGCGCAGCGGCACTGCGGCGCAATAGATTGCAACAACTAATGAGGCAACAACAACAATAAATTAATTTTTTTTTAAAATCAACTAAAACAACAACAACAACTGAATTGTGTGCAACAGCTCCCACCTTACTAAAAACAAAAACAAACACAACAACAACAACAACAACAACAACGAACAAACGTCTTGTACTCAACTCTCTGTTTCTTCGATTTCTGTTATACAAACAACAATCGCACACAGCAGCAGCAGCAGCAGCAGCAGCAACAGCAGCAACAACAAAAACATAACAGTTCCGCCCAACATTTAAGCATCGATTTTGAAAATCAAAACAAAAATGAAACACAAAGAAAAATACATATTTAAACAAAAGAGAAAATTATTTTTAATAAATAATTTTATACACAACAAAAATAATATATAAAACACAAGAGCAACAACAACAGCAAATCGCAGACAACAAAAACATCTAGTGGGCTATAGCAGCAACATACACACACACACTCACACACACGCACACACATTTTAAACAAACACATATTAAACAATAAGATCTATTATATAAAGCAAATATTTAGCCACATACCATGTATCTATGCATATATAGTTTATATAGCAAACCTAGCAAAAACTAAAACAATATAAACAAAACAAAATTTGTATATTAGCCAACAACAAATCACATAGCACACACACACGCACGCACACACACACACGCACGCACACACACACACGCACGCACACACACACACGCACGCACACACACACACGCACGCACGCACACACACACACGCACACACACACACACACACACACACACACACACACACACACACACACACACACACACACACACACACACACACACACACACACACACACACACACACACATGAACAGCAATTAATAGTAACTTAAATAACAAAATATTTAAAACAAAAATGCGCTGTTGTAACAGAAACCACCAAATGGGTAACGCTTTATAAAACCGCATGCATATCTATGTATGTATATATATATATATTTATATATATAGATATATATAGTATGTACACATTAAGTATGTATGTATGCACATATATATAGGTGTGTACGTGTCTCACTAGCACTTGATAAGAAAGTTAAACAAAAAAAACATTTTTTTTTGCAAAAATTTGATGTGTGACAAAAACGAATCTGAGACACATTAAATGCATACACTGTGCAAAATCAATTAGCAATATGTGTGCACGTGTGTGTGTGTGTGTGTGTGTATGAGTTAGTTTATAGCAGCGTTTTCTATGACCAAACGAAACCATCTAAAGTAATCAAAAAACACCAAACAAATCTAAGAAAAACTAGAGCAAATTTTTTAAGAACCCACGCAAACCGTTAGATCATATTGTAGATCTTATATATATACACGATAAAGAAGAACAAACCCTGCTTTTGAGTAAACACATTTTATAGAAACAGCTGCAAAATTACATTTATATAGCTATATATATATATGTACATATAGCCACATGTCGATAGTTTTGACCAACTGTCACTGGCCGAACCACCAAAAACCAAAACACGAATCAACTTTTACATTCTGTTGACATATATATTATAATGTGCGTACGTGTGCGTATGTGTGCGTGTGTGTGTGTGTGTGTTAGCGACATACGTTTATATAGACAATGTGTTTGATGTATGTTCAATGTATATGTGTAGTTGTTGTAGTTGATGTAGTGATTGCCTACTCGTACATATATATTGAATGTGTCGTAAGAGCGCATAGCTGCAGCAAATGTTAAAAAAAAAAAACAAAAAAACAAAAAGAAAATAGTGCAATAAGCAACACACAACACGAAACAAGTAAACAATAAAGATACAAACAATAGACTTATAACACACAGTCAAGTAAAACTTCACATGGCATATTATGAGAACTGTCATTTGTGAATAAACGAACCCATTTTTGGCCAATTAACACACAATTCAGCTAAGTCCCCAAGTTTGGTTCTCTTGTTGTTATTGTTTGCCACATAACAAACAGTTATATATCCATGTTATAAGTAAATAGCAAAACTTAAGATTATTTGTACTCTCCATGTTCAGTTTTCTATTCGCTACCCCATTGAAGGGCGCTAGCCAGGGTCACTTTACACACCACTCAAGAGTGTTGTTGCATCCATGGTCACATTTTTGACTAGGAGTTTTGTTAAACTCAACAACTTTAAGTCCAATTTTGCCTTGCAAAGGAGGAGCAACAACTCAATTGAGCACATCCATGGTCAATTAGTTTACAAGAGCTACCCAAAAAGTACGCCCCCCAAGAGACAATACATATTTACCATTAACTACATTAGTCAACTATGAACTATATTGTTTTATATTCACTTTTAAAATGCTTCGTTCTTTCGTTGTTGTGGCTGAAATTCAGATTGGAGCATACTTTTGGTAATCAAAATCATATATATATATATATATATATCTATATCTATATCTATATCTATTTTCAATTTATTTTGTTTAACTCTTGACTTAGTTGTAAATGTTGGACAAGTGGGTGTTGAATGGCCAAATGGACCCTTTCTTTAATATTAATTTTTAGTTTGTTTGTATAATGAGTAGAAATCTGAACAAACGCCTTAAGAGCTCTACTTTAATCACTGATCCAAAATCTAATGTAATTTTTTTAGTCACAGCTACTATATATACATATAAAAATGAAGATCTTGTATGAAATATTTATATACACAACTTTTTGAAATTTAAGCAGAAGACAAAAACTAAACTAAATATTATATTTTGGAGCATTTTTTCAATGTGTATTTGTGTGTGTGTGCGCGAGTGTTAAAGAAAAAGTATTAAACATAAACAAAAACAAAAAGCAACAAAAAAAAGGATTAGGTGTATATCTTTTGAACAATAAAGATTGCTAGAGAATCATGATCGATAAAAATTTCAAAAAAAAAAAAAAAAAAAAAAAAAAAAAAAATAACAAAAAACAAAAAGAAAACTAAACAAAACGAAACATTTTTATTTTTTGGAATCTTTGAAGCTGGGAATAAGAAAATAAAAAATCAAACCAAAATAAAAAACAATCAGCTTTCAATATGCAAATAATATTTCAATTTTATGTTTTCCCATTTGTAAATACTTGATTAAAAAACGTTTAAAACTCGTTTGTGTCAGAAGGCAAGTTGACATTTTTGGCACGTTTAAAAACTGTTAAAAAGAAAAAAAAGCTTAAACAAACTTAAAACGTGTTATATAAAATGCAATTTATATTTTAGTTTCAGGCAATGTTTAAGAGAAAAAAGTTTAGAATTGAGAATTGAAAGTGAAATGAAAGAATGAAAAAGAAATCAAAGTTTATTTTCACACCCGAAACATTTTAAAAAGCAAATGCAACGCAGTTGGTATCTATTTTCAAAAGAATTAGAAAAACACTAAACTTAACAAAAAAAATAAAATAAAATTAAATAAAATAAAGAACAACAAGAACTTAGTGTTACAGCATAAATGTTTGTGTAAATGTTTAAATGTAAATGTAAAATGCTTAGATTTAGGTTCTAAAAAAAAACCGAAAAACCACATAAAAATATATGTAAAAATATAATAACAAAAACTAAAAAAAAAAAAAAAAAACAAAAACAAAAACAAGAAAAACAACATTATTTAAAATGTTTTTAGTTTGTTCGTTTTGAAGATCTGCATATTTATATGTTTTGCTTATTAAGTAATTAATTTAGTATGTGTTTCTAATTTCTTTTTTTTTTTTTTGAATAATTAATTAATTACCTTTAAGTAGCCAAGTAATGAACATAATACTTTATTCTTATATTTACTAAACGATTTCATTTTAGAAATGCTATTATTTGATTTACTTAATTTAAAATTGAAAACAAATCGGGAGTATTGCAAATTATAAACGTATGAATTAAATACAAACACAAACACGAAAAAGTTATAAAACAATGCAGAAAGCAGACAAAAAAAAAAAAAAAAACAAAAACAAAACAATAAATAAAAAACAAAATAATAATAAATAAATACAAAAAAACGAACATCTTTTAGCTGTAAATGTTATATGTAAAATTAATTTTAAAAGCATAAAAAAACCACAAAATAAAAAAAAAAAAAACAAAAACAAAGCAACACAAAAATAACAAAATATATGAGACAAAATATATATATATATATATATATATATATATATATACATATATATGTATATATATATTCTATAAATGTGTAAAGCAAACAAAAATGCAAGAAAAAAAATAAAAAAGTGATTTCAGAGCAATGTAAATTTGTGTAATTTTTTATTGAGTATCCGAGCAAATATTCTTTTTTCAGTCGACAACTTTTCAGATTTATTTAGCTGATTGCTCTAAACATGTTCATACCAGAGAAAATTGCCCGGCGTTGCACCGCCCTGTGCATACACGGAGTACAATATAAGCAACACGACATTGCACCCGAATAACTGCCACAAATCTGGAACTTCAGTGCCGCGTTTTTTCAACAGTTAATGAGAAAAGGCTTTCAAAATTAATATTTCTTAATCATTTTAGCCTGTGCATGCAATTTGTAAGTACAAACATTTTTTTTCTATAATTAAGTATATGGCAAATCACATGCTCATACCCTTAGTTAATGTTTTTCTAGGAAAAAATCGATATATCGATGTCGAGTTTTCTAATACATCGAAGAAAATATTTTTTCCAAAACGATTTTCTAATCCGATATCGGAATGTTACACCTCATGTGCACGTATGTACTTAATATATTGAAAATAATAATTAAAAGCTTAATGAAAGACGTTTTTTATTTGATTTCTCATAGTTTTGTTTTATTTGCAAGCTAAACATATTTTGAATCCAGTTTTACTCATAATCATTATAATAGTTCATAAAAAAATGCTTTGCTATTGCAGCTAAAAAAATGGTTACTCTTATTTAAATTCCGATATATATATATATATGTATATATATATATATATAGTGTTGTATTGTTTTTATAAGTATGAGACTGTGTATTGTGTTTATAGATGAGTGAGAGCAAAAACGAAGTGTGTGCGAAAGAACGCTAAAAAAAATTGGTGTTCGGCTGCTTCGGTTTGTCCAGTTCCCTCTAGGCCCCTTATCATAATATAATATATATATTTATGTATACATAGCAACATTTTTCGCATTTCTGTTCTCGATATATCATACACAAAACAAACAAACAAAAAAAAAAAAACTAACGAAATAATAGAAGGCGAATGCTTAGCAAATTGAATAGCAAAATGCAATGTGGAAATCAAGTAAATTGCATAACTTATATATTTAATAATAATTAGATGTAGGCATTACCATTATAATAATAATATTTATAATCATAATAATAATCATAATAATAGCTTAAACCCTAAAATACAGAATGCAGTTCACAAGAAACAAAAAAAAAAAAAAAAAAAAAAAAAGCGCGAAAGTTTGCAATTATTAATATTTTTAAAACAAGTTTATAATTTGCTGCAGTTGAAGCAAAAAAAAAAGAGAATATTATTAATAAACCATTTCTTGAAACAAACAGTTACAAAAGTTATTTGACATTATTCGTATTTGTAATTTAACATTAAGATTTTTGTTTCGTTTTCTTTTGTTTTTTTTTTGTTTTTCATTTGTGGCTAGTTAGAAAATTACAAAAATCGCATAATAGTTTGCTTTAATTAGAGTACTTTCATTAATTAGTTGTATTAATATCATGATTAGAGATGGAGTTGTTGAGTTTTTGTTTTGTTTTCTTTCTTTTTTGTTATTTCTTTTCAACCTGCAGCTGCATTTTACAATTATATTTTTAAACTATATTTATGTATTTGTTTATATATATATATATATATATATATATGAATTGTGTGTATATATATTTATAAAAAGCTTTTCTGTACGTGTGTGTGTATTTGTTTTTAATTAATTGTTTGACATTTTGCTATTACTTTATACACAACAAATAAAAATGATATTTAAATCAAATTGAATATAATTAAGTGCAGATGTTTATAAATTTGCATTATTTGTTGTTGTTTTAGCTCGCTAAATTGATAACATATGTGTGTATTTATATATATATATATTTATGTGTGTGTGTGTGTGTGTGTGTGTATTTCATTTGATAGTTTAGCAAAGTAAATTGTTAAAATGATTAATTTAAAAGCTGGCGGCGGCTGTGCTTTGAAACATTTCATTTTATTTTTAATTTAAGTTTTATTGTTGTTGTTGTTGCCTAAACAATGGATTTTGTTTTACTTTAGTTTATATGTTTAGAGTTTTATTTAATTATGTATATTACATATAATTCATAATTTATTTAGTTTTAAATCATCGTTGACATGTTGCAAAAAATTTTGATACGATTTTTGTTGTTTGCCTGTTATTAAATATTATTAACATAACACAATTATTATTTTTCTTGTTGTTGTTGTTGTTTCTTTTCTGATTTGTTGTTGTTGCTTGTTTCGGTTTCCGTTGCTGTTGCTGTTGCTTTTGCTTTTGCTGTATATCCATGTGGCCTTTGTTGTTGTTGTTGTTGTTGTCGTGTTGCTGTTGTTCTAGTCGCAGCTGAGTGTTTACAACAATTGGCAGCAAGGAGAAGGCTTCGCCGGCTCTTTCACGTCCATCTGACGTTGTTTTTTGCGTGATGAAATATCCCTGATTAGATCGAAAAATACCTAAGCAATGGAGAACATTATTAATCGAATGCATTTAATTATTCTGTTTTCTTTTTCTTTTTTATGTTAAGTTGGGTTGTTCTAGAATTACATATAATTTTGAAAGTGGCTAAAAACCGAAAGCAAAAAGTTTCATACACCATAAAACGAAATTTGTAAAAGTTAAGAAAACAAAACCAAAAACTAAAAATTTAAATAAACCAAACAAATTACAAAAAAACAAACAAAATATAATAAAATTAGCAAACCAATTTTGCGGCATATTTTTTATTGTTTTAAATATGCCCGCAAGAAAATGACATATATCTAATAAAAATCAATTGTGCTAAATTTATTCAAAATCAATAAGAACTACTTTAATATGTGTGTGTGCGTGTCTGTGTGTCTGTGTATGTGTCGATCTGTGCGTGTATGTACATATGAATGTTGTATTGTGTGTGCGTGTGTGTGTGTGTTTCTGATAATATACAATAACATAAGTTTTTGCCAGTGTATTTTTAAGTCAGTTATTTGGCTGTCCCCCAAAACAAATGTTGTTCATTTTGTTCAATACGTCCGCATCTGAATGCATATGTTAATTCAAAGTTTTACTGTCCATATAAAAAACTCAACTTTAGTGTTGACAAATTTGTTTGCTAACTTGTTAGTGCTGCAAAGTGTTATAAAAGCGACTTCAGCAAAGCTACAATGAAATTAGTGTTAGATATACAGATGAGAATCGATATATTGAACATCGATAAGTATCGAGAATCAATCTAGAAATTTGTATCAAATAGTTGAGCTTTTTGATGACAACTAAAAAAAAAGAGTTTGATGATATTGTGAAGTGTGTTCTTTTTTAAGGCTAAGGATAACATAAATCGATGTTTATATTTTGTATGTTACGAATATTACGAATAACCCTCATTTTGTTGGCTGCTTTTTAGGTAAGCTTCTATTTACTTTCCTTTCAAAAAGAAAATATATTTAAATTTAAAAAAAACGAATAAATTAAAGTATGGAAACAAATTCAGTTTATCAGATTTCAGCATTGCGGCTTTTTTATAACTTTCTCAAATTGAACTAGCGAAAAATGTAGATTACCATCACAAGATTGATCATGAACATGCTGGACTTGTTGGGTAGATCACGGCGCTTATGGTTAGTAAATATCGAAGTTAACCAATATGCAATGGGTTTTCAAGTTGTAGTACTTGTTAATGTTATTGTTGTGTGTTGTGCGTGTTTGCCAAGTTCGAACTCAAGGTTAAAAAGTTAAAAAAAAAAAGGTTAATAAACTCAGAAGCAAGCGGTACTCATATCGAAATCAAAACAAGTTAAAATAAGGGGTAGACATTGTTAAAACTAAAATCGATTTTAGTGTTGCAAAAAGCCAAAAGCGAAAGAAGGTAAGCTACGTAAGTACTTAGGGGGAATATAATAGGGGTATTTACTTTAAGCATAACTAGCGTGTGCTTTTATAAAATTGTTGTAGTTGTTGTTGCTGTTTGTTTAAGTTTTTTTTTTTGTTTTTGTTTTTCAAATAATTTTTGTATGCACCTAATGCCTAAAGTAGGGTACACTTAAGTCTCCGCTTCTTGCATCTATCTTTAGCACGCCCGCTCGTGGCTTTCGAATCTTCGGTTTTTCGTGATCTTATTTCGCGCATCAAATCAAAAAATACCTGCAATTGTGATGGGAATAAAATATACATGTACACATAGATATATATGTATATATTATATATATATAATATAAAGATAGAAAACGCAAATAAGTACTTTTCATACGATTGTTAAGGATAGAGCTAAAATGTGAGTGTGAAAGAGAGGTCATGTATATATGGCATATGTGTATGTGTGTGTGTATGTGTTCGTGCTATGCTTAAACACAGAGTTGCAGAATGTGAGAAATACATAGATGCGCTGGCAATACGAAAATAAAATTCGATTAAAATAAAAAAAAAATGTTAACATTCTTATTGTTTGCCACGTTGCGTTAACAACATCGATAGGCGACGACGATAGCGATAACAGTGTTGGAAAGTATGCTACGATGATCTGTGCGTGCTGACAGGGGCGCATTGTAACGGTATAATGTTATCGATTTCGATGAGTTTGGCAAAAATGCCCAACTTTTTACAATCAGTTCAATATTTCACTGCAAATGATGCAGAACGTGATCTGTTTTTTGTTTAATTTTCGGACATCGCTCAGTTGTTGTTATTTAAATATATACTTTTTGTATGCCTAGATCTTGTTTTGTATATTTAATATGAGTTGTAATGGCATCGCTCGCAAATGAAAACATTAAGCAATGCTTCTTGCTCTTCAAAATGTCAACTATTGAAATTGCTATATTGCTTATAAGACAATTACTAATAAAGGAATATAGTTAACTTTATTTTCAATTGACTTTAATAAATAACATTTGGTGAATGTTGTACAATTCCTAATTCTGGCAGATTTTATCTTGACTGTACTTGCATGTTGTGTGATGGGATGGAAGAAAATATCGATAAATTAATTGAAGCATAGGTTGACTGAAAACTTGCTTAAGTAGAACTCAAATAAGTCTGTATTAAAACAATGCATTTAAATTAAACGTTTGCCGGACTTAAATGAAGCTACGCTTTCTAAGAAACAATAATTCAAACTTTTACTATTTCCCTGCAAAAGTAATCGAAGAACTATCGATTGTCATTCAGACATATTATTTTGGAGTTGCATAGAGATGGCTTTTCAACTAAACGTCGTATTAAGTGAAAAAGAGAACTAAAATTCATCTAAATAAGTGTGAGCTGTACCGTGTTAGGCAAAAACAAGTGTGACTATTAAATATTTGGGCAGTCGCTTTGATAGGAATATTGAATGTGAGTCGTGATAGAACAAGTTAAGTTAGTCAACTTTTTTGAAAAACTATATATTTTATTTTTTTTTTTTTAGCTATTGTTGTGAGTAATTGTATTTGTTGTGGTTGTTGTTGCTGCAGCTGATTACTGTGTACGGTAATCACAAAATACAAAAACACACATAATCATTAATATATATACATATACACATATATATATATATATATCTATATAGATATATTTGGTATTTAGAATATATGCATATATAAAAATAAAAAGAAAAACTTAAAACGAAACAAAAAGTGTGTGCAAATCAATTTTTGCATTTCGTTTTTCTAATAATCTGCACATAATTGTCATTATTATGTTAATCATGATATTTGAATAATTCTTTGGGTTTTGCTTGCTTTAGCCAATTGATGAAGAGCCTTCAAAAATGTCTCTGCAAATGTTTACATTAAATATATATATATATATATATTTGATCTACATATGTCGCGCATTCAAAGAGAGCGAGAGAGTTGGAGAAAATATTTATTTTTCTTCCACTCCCCCAGCTAAACTACCATTCGGCCCCGTACTTACCTTGTCCACATTCTCGCGCGTCTTGGCTGAGGTCTCCACATAGGGCACGGACCACTGCTGCGCCCTCACCTGGCACTCGTTGAGGGGCACCTTGCGTTTGTCATTCAGATCGCATTTGTTGCCCACCAGCAGGAACGGTATGCTCTCATCGTTTTTCACTCGCAATATTTGTTCTCTGTGGGAGTTAATGAGTTAGATGGTCAAATAATTGCCGACGCGGCCGATAAGCAGCTTATCAAATGGTGCCGTGACTCACAAACGCTGTCAACACAACACGCCAGACACTTCACTTCACCTGTGGGGCCTATCGACACTCTTGAGCCACACCCAGGCACACTTCACGGCTGTCATATGTCAGCTACAGGCGTCATGCTTCCCACATCTGCTCCCGCTATGCTCTTAAGGCTTATGCTTTCCTACTCAGATTGAGGTCAAAGGTCAACATAAAAACCGTTAACTAACTAAAAAACAAGTCACGCCCAAATCATAAACATGCACGTTTATACTTAACCAACAACAGTGAACCGGATGAAGGAACAGAGAACTCTCGAAATATAATCGCAAACGACCTATATTTATTTTCTTAATGAGTTATTCAGGTCAAATACAACCCCACTTCACAGGTAAAGTCTAAATCATGAACGATTACAATGTGCAAAAGTGGAACCAGGGAAAAAACAGAAAACAGAAAACAAAAAAAGAAAACAGTTTCCCCGGTAGGGCTCGAACTTGCGACAGACCGCATCACTTGCCATTACCTTTACTTAACACACACTTATCACTAAGTATTGTTGAGAAAAAAAAACGAATTAAAATAGCAGCACAGAAAACAATCGCAAATGCAACGCTGTTGACGCGCATGAATGTGTGTGCGTACATGTATACAGAAATTCTTGAAATTTGGGCTGCCCCATCCAATGCGCAGTAACTTTTTGGGTTTTTCTTAATCGATCTTAATGAAATTTTCTATAGTACCGTACCATAGAACGGACGGACATCACTAGATCGGCTCGGCTGTTGATGTTGATCAAGAATATATATACTTTACATTTGCACAAATACATTATACCCTTTTTATCCACTTTCAATGGGTTCAGAGTATAAAAAAAGAATTGGCAGTTCCAATTTTGAATCTGTTTTCAAACTGTTCTCCAGCAGACGAAACATATTGTAGCATGCATCGTGTCGTTTTAACCAAATTCTTATAATTAAATTTGAGTATGTCTACCCACTTGGGACCTTATTTTAAAGTTGAATAACTTATAGAAAAAAGCATAGATTGCCATTAAAAAAAAAAATGGCTGCAAGAAAGGGATGGATTGAAACTGTTTTGATCGATACGTCCGTACGTAGAGGCCCGAAATTGGCAACATGCTGGCTGTCTACCTAATCGTCTTTAGATTATATCTGAAAAAATTGTCGGTATGGGTTATCTTTCCTGTGATGATATTATATAATGAGGTAACATTCTCCATATCAAAGCAAAGCAAAGCATGTCGAATGCATTTGCACAACTTTGGAGCTGTCGTGAGAAGCAGCACATAATTACAATAGAAATTGTTTGAGCTTTAATTTCAACAACTTTTCTGCGGCAACAATTCGCAACTTGTCGTAAATCCGCCAGCGGCAAGCTATGCGCGTCCAATTAGAAGGTGTTGGCAAGCTACAAGAGGAGCCTGCTGCTGGCACATGTGTGGATATAGATACAGCCACAATTGCAGAGAGACAGCGTAGACGCACTTGGGGTTGACTGACGCGCACTTGACACACTCGAGGCACACGCACTCACCTGAATTCCTGGGTGGCCTGGAAGCTTTCATCGTCTGTAATTGAGAAGACACAGAGAAAACCCTCGCCGCTGCGAAAATAATTATCTCTGATGGCTGCGTAATCCTCCTGGCCGGCTGTGTCTAGTATATCTATTTGTACTTCCTCGCCATCGAGCACAACCTTTGGGGTAGAGAGAAGCGTTTCATAGTGGGACCTCGTCCTCGGCTGGAGTTTGGTTTTACCTTTTTCCTATAGCTATCGGCCTTGGTCGGCTCATAGTCCTCGACGAACTCATCGTACATGAACTGCAAGGTGAGGGCCGATTTGCCAACGCCTCCGCTGCCCACCATGATGACCTTGTGGAGCGCCGGGCCGGCAGTCGGTTTCTTGCTCATTTCGATGCAACGTGTTGGGGGTCTGGCTGGGCGGGTTGATGATGCACACTGCACACTGCACGCTGCACACAGATTTGCTCTTTCGCTGTAGCTCAGTAGCTCTCTCGGTCTATCTCTCTGGCCTGCACTCCTCCTCTCGCACACAAGCTCGCGCTCTCTTTCGCTCTCTTCGAGAGTCTTTTAACTGCAAGTAAGAGAGCAAAATATAGGGTTGAACATTTTGTTTTTCTTTTTTACTATTTTCGACTGGTCTTCCTGTTTTTGGACATGGCTAAAATAGCCGGCGACAGGCAGTTGTTGTCGTTGACTCTTAAGTCATTCAACCGTTCAACAATTGAACCATATAAGGCCTGTGCCCAGTCAGGCTATTGACTTGCCCGCTGCGTTGCGCTGTGTTTCATAACCAAAATATGGAAGAAAAAAAAAACAAATATGCGTCTTATATAAGTAATGTAACACAGTGACACCTGCCTTTAGCGGCGACAGTGCAACCAATTTCCACAGACTTCCTCTATAGCAATTCGTAAACTCACTTTAGTTGTTGTTCACTTTGCGCCTTTTTCGCTGGCATTTTCTTCAGCTGAACATAACTATTTAACTAGTTTCAATTTCTCTATAAAATAACCTACACAAAGCTCAATTCACATTGGCCTGAGCTTATATTTATTTGAGAGTAGCTAACCTTAGGGCAGACAAGTTTCCAAAAAACGACAAGGTCGGTTCACGAGCCATACATTTTTTTCAAAATGGTTTGGTTCTCTATACAATACGCTTTTGGTAGAATGTGAAGCCAGTTTCATACTCCGAACCCAGTCAAGGGTGTTGAATTAGTTTTGGCTTTTCTGCCCTGAATTGAAACACCTGAATTGTTTGAGCCTTTCCTTAGACGATTTTCGAATAGTTCTATTTCTAACTCGACCAAATGTTCATAAAATAACAAAAGTATTCTGGTTCTACTAATGGCAAAGAATGTCCCAATCCCCTCCCATCAACTATCGCATTGATTATTTCCATATAGAGGGTATTATAATACTGTCATATAGCCATATCCGACTGCCCGTCCAGTTTTAAAGATATCGTCTTGAAACTTTGCATAAGTCCGGTTCTCTGATTCAGGCACTACCTATGTCGGAATCGGCCGGATTCGACAACTGTATCATAAAGCTGTCATAGGAATAGTCGGGTGATAAGTAGGTTCTTATACGGAATACATTTTTGTTTCTCAAGATATCTACAACAAACTCGTCATTTTTAGGTTTCACTATGCTCCTTTAATATAGGCAAAATCCAACAAATATCGGACCACTCTATCACATGGTTGCCATATGAACGATAGTTCGAAAAAAGGCTCAATATTCCGTTTCCAAGATATTTTCATTAAGCTCAGCATTCACGAGCTTTACTATATTTGGCCATAAGGCAAATATCCAAAAGGGTATTAACTCTTCGGCGTGCCGAAGATAGCAGTACTCTCTAGTTTTTATTATTCTTAAGACACCTTGACTATTGGTTATATAATTCTGTAAGTTCTAGGTAATATGATACCTGATGTCGATGCCATATATCGTACATTTGAACGCCTATGTTCTATTATTTTTGCGTTCACTGTAAGCAACCTAAATAGAGCTCGTACTTATAAATGTCGAAGCTTTCTTCCAATCGCACCTGCTGACAAAAAGTGTTGCACACTAAAAAACAAACTCAGCCTTGCGGCAATTCGTGAACATTTATCGGGTTTTCTCTTTACAGTCGATGAATTCGGTTAATTGAGTACAAGTTATGTTAGCCAAAGTAAAGACTCAGTGCCCGAATCAAGTAAAATATTTTGTTTATCTTAATATTTCGACTTTTTCCCAAATCGACTTTATATGAAATTCCTTAGCTGGCGTTTGTCCATATAAAGTTGAACTGCATTTAACTTATGCTTCTCATAAAGATCTCCACCCGACTTTTTGCTAGGCGTTTGTCATGGCACAAAATTGTTGTGTTTATAGGGTATTTGAATAGTGAATAGGCAACACACAACAACATGTATATGTGTGTGTGTGTGTGTGTGTGTGCATTCATGTATTGTAAGTACTTGTTGTTGTTGCTCACTTTGTTGCCCATGCTACAGGCAATAGTTAAACGATTCTTGTTTTTGTTGTTTTGTTGTTGTTGCTGTTGTCCGTTGTTAATGCATAAAAACTCTGCTTTTTCTTTGGCTACTTTGCGCAAATCGACAAATGAAGCATAACAACAAATAAGAGTTCTCTAGTCGAGACTATAAGATACCCTATTGTCTAGCGTCGAGCTGCTGTTTTGGGGCTGTGCTTTGTTTCATATATGTATATACAATAAAACATGACTATACAAAATACACTAAAAATGCAGCTTTAATTATTGCGGCATTTACATTCCGATCATGTTATTAGCGAGGATTTCAGCTCTCAAAGTAGATTGTGTTAAATCGAATTGTTGCAACATTATAAACCTATCCATACGATTCCTAATAGCAAATTTTGTGCTTCTAGTTCGTTTAGTCTTCGAGTTACTTTTTATAATTGGATATTTAGCGATAAATAAGACATACGATTATGTGAGAGCGAGGAGAAAGCAGAAAAAGATGATTTCTAATCTCTAGCTCTCAGAACTGGCCTCCACCATGTGCAACCTGTACAGGATAACAAGGGGACATTCGTTACTTGAGAGTTTGAGTTATGAACATAGCTAGCACGCCTCAGCCCATCGAGCTGGTCAGGAATAAACATGGCTTGAAGCAACCTCGTGCTGCTGCTCCACAGACATTTGCACATAATCAACATACCCTTACTTTTTAAACCATTTGCAATGGATACAGGGTAGATGGAAGTAAAAAAAAAAAAAGGTTGAATGAACTTTTTACACACGACAAAACAAAACGGGCAGAAAGCATGCGAATAGCATAATGCAGAGCTGGCCCGGCGAATTGTTGTTGTTGTTGTTTCTGTTTGCGCCATTCGCAATTAGCCTTTTGCGACCGACGCGTCGCCGTCATCGATTGCAATAAATTAAGGCGTGAAATTACGTATGGCCAGCTGCATTGGCATGGGGAATAGAAACAGCAAAAAGGTTGACACACTCTCAAACACACGCACAACACAGTTAGCCAAACGGTCCGGTCCTGACTGACTGGCCACGTGGCCACTTGGCCACTTGGCTAGCTGCCCATTCAGCATTGGGCAAGAGGCGAGATCTCGAAGTTTGTTACAAAGCGAACGAAATAATTACATCGAACCTCCGGCCGATGACTGATGTCATACAGAGTTTTTCTGATATTAAACAGCTGCCAAAAGGGGTTATTTACTACTAACGGTCCGTTCATTCCGTTCGTAACTCAGAGCTAGAAGACAAGAAACTGCTTGGTGCGTGTTTAACAATTTTTTATTGCTCTGACGTTTGTGAAATCTAATCAGCACAAATATGCCTCAAATAACGCAGCTGCATATATTAACTAGTTTTCAAGCAAGGTTCGACACTCGAAAATTCGAATTATCTGTAATGAGAATCGACAACTTTCATCTAGAATCCTAACTTTCATCTTGTTATTATGCAATTTAAGCGAATCTGTATCTTTCATCTAGAATGTCTCATTTTTCAAAATTTCTTAACGTTTCTAAACATATTTCTTCTAGAATCCCAACTATTCGAAATTTCTTGATGTTTTATACTTTGTTCATACTTTTAAAATGTCTTCTTGTTTTTGTTGTTTAAACTTATCAATTGCCATTTTTATTATTCAAAATGTTTCATCTAAAATCCCAACCTTTCAAAACTTCATGTGTTTGTTGTATTTGCTTGTTAAACCATTTTGGAAATATAATTCTCGAGTGATATTATACATTTATGTTTATATATTTTCACTTTTTCCTTGCTTGACGCCAACAACTCTCAACAAGTTAAAGCTTCGACATAGGAAAGGAAAAGGAGTTTGCAAGCCGGGAACCGGTATCAAATTCTGCTGCTGTTCTAACCGCGAATAACTACTGTTGTTTCTGGGCTATTATTTTTACAAAAGAGCTAATAACGAATATTATAATAATATCAATTTGCTCGTATGTAACACATCTGAATTGCAATCAAAGTCACAAAACGCGGTTTGTGGGCTTGGCAGATTTCTATATTATTTGAGCAAAGAATTCTAATATAATTGTCACAGTTCCGACATACTATATGCATTATGACAGTAAAAAGGCAACCAGAAGAAATGCTTATGAAGTGAAATGATTTATGTGTCCATAGGTATATGTGATATTTGGCTTGAATATTAGGCTGTCAGCTGGCGTGAATCAGTTTTGAATGGTGCTCTGCACTTGGATCACAGCTAACAAAATGTGACATTTGTTTCGAACAACAGACGAAAACCTCATTTTAAATACGAGACGCCAAGCCAGAGGCGCATTTGTATTGGTAACCGCAGTTGACCCACAAAATGAACAAATGCAATGTGCGCTGCTCAACTGAACTTGAATTGTTTCTGTGTTGTTGTTGTTGTTGTTGCTGCCGCTATTGGCTAATAAGATGAGTTTCATTTTGGGTTTTCCAATGGCGACGCCTGGGAATTGAAAACAAAAGCAGCAGCTGTCAAATAAACATGCGCAACAAGTACAACAAGCAACAGCAACAACAAACAACTCGACGAGTGCCACGCGGCGTATGAGTAATCGCTGCCAGCAAACGAGCGCCTCAATCAATAGTCTTGAAACGGAAAAACAAAAACAAAAGCACGAGAGTACAAAAAATCGACAACAAAAACTCCCACGCCCAACTTAGCTGGCGGCGCTCAGTCGAGTTAACAGTCACATGGAAAAATAAAGATTCTAACTTCATGTGAAAACTCAAATACTCTCACCAAAAAAAAGGCAGGCATTATTTGAACGTAGGCAAACTCTGTATGAGATATATAAATCAGTTAGAAGCAACAGCTAAGAACTTGTTCACAATCCAATAACAAATCTAAAAGATAACGAACTTCCCGATTTGCTAGATAGGTAGAAGAGTTATGGATTTATATAGTTAGCAGAAGCGCTTCAGTAGTCTTCATTTTCAATTTGTACACTCCAATTCTTTTGCCAAGGAAAACATTGGTTCTATAGGCGAATAGCCAAAGAAATTTTGGCGATACTAAAGAACCTTTCTAGTCGAATCCCTGGCAAAAGCAAAGCA